CATTAGTGACTCTCGGTATTATAACAGCCTTCCACAGGAAGAATGCAGAAGTTTTTAAGGATTAGATGCAATTCCCAACAGACTATTTCCCCTTTACAGCCTGACATTGATCTGGATATTGAGGAATGAACTCCACACACATGGGACATCCCCTTCTGTTCATAACTTGTCTGAATCATAGAATGGTTTGGGTTGGAAGAGACCTGAAAAATCATCTATTTCCCACCCCCCTGCCATGGGAAGGGACACCTTCCACTGCATCAGGTTGCTCCGAGCCCCATGCAGCCTGGCCTTGGACACCTCCAGGGATGAGTCACCCACAACTAAGCATATTTCAGTAATGAAACTCATTAATATCCACAAACTCCTGCTTTGGGAAGGTTTTTTCCCCCAAACCTTTGAGCCTTGTCAAAATGAGGAAGAGTGCTGAGAGAGTTTATAAAGGTCGGCAAAGAAACTTTACTCAACATCCCAAAATAAACACGGCACTTCTTTTACTTGCAGCCACTTCTACATGTTTACAGACTTTTTTGATGAAACTTCTCGAGGACAGAACACAAAAACATACAGATAAGCTCCAGGGCACCTGGCTGACAGTTGTTCCTCCTTATCTTGGCCTTGCAAAACGTCTGGGAGAAAACACTGGAGCACATACAGTGTTTTCTGCTTTGGGAATGTGAGAAGGCAGACTCGATGAAAAATTAACAAGTCTCTATGCTGATTTGTCATTCCCTCTTAACTAGAAAGCTTAATTAACATTAAAAGGTCAGATACTCCATCTTAACAGTTTGCCTACAAGTGATTTTTAAACAGCTACATCATTACTATTTTTACCTCTAGGACAAAACTCAGCTTGGGGAGGGTTGAGAGGTTTCTCATGCAGAACCACCCAACAGCTTCTTCTCTTTTTTGAGTCAAAGGTTTAAGCAAAGGAGCCTTTGTCACTCACAGGAAACTTGCTGCCTGACAGTTTTCCTCCGGGAAACTGTCGTAAGAGATGATTTTTCCCAGCTGGGACACTCAGGTACACAAGAAGTTTGGTTGTTTTTTTTTTTTTAAATTAACATCTTTGCAGGTAAGCCATTACCGTAAGGACAGTAAGCTATTACTACCAAAGCAGGCTAACTGTGACTGCAAATAGATAACAAGGTCAGGAAACAGCATCTCCTATAAGAAGTGAAGCATCCTTGAGACTAATTCAGAAAAGGGTTGCAAATGTTCCTCATCTCACAGGCAAACTCGCATTCTGTTTAAGAACAAACACACACGCTGCCAGGTCTGTGAGCCAGATTGCTCCCTGGGACACAACCCAGAGGCGAGCTCCATAAAACACAGCCCTCCACGCCACAGAGAGAGCGAGCTTGGATCAGCAGGGCATTCTTATTCACGCCTGACAAAACACACCCGCAGAATGAAAAATAGTCTAAATTCTGCCCCTGGTAGCCAAGCAACTCAAAATGTGGCTGGACAGCAGAGTCCTCTTATTCAGATAAGACACTCTCGCCTGCAGCTACGGGTTCAAATAAATAATCTGCATGCTCTGGAAGTTGTGTCTTCTTCATTTCAAGGACATTGTCATCACGACCACTGGTCAAGGCAGCAGCGAGAATAATCTGCATCCGAAGGGCCAAGCCTGCTGCGTGCATTACCATCAGGCACTGCAGCAACTCAATGACCCTTTGCAGAGCATCTCCAGTCATCAGGAGTTTCAACATACGCCCGGGAGGGGCTGCCATCAGGCCGTTGGCGCTGCTCTAGCGCACGACGAAGCTGAGGGATTGCCAAGGCCCAAGCCTGCCCAGTTTTAAAATGTCAGAGGAGCAATACTTCTCAGTCCTGTGGTGTAGGAGCAGGGTGAACAAATGACCTCGCAGTGGCTTAAGCAAAAAACCTAATGTTGTGGTTCAGCCTAACTGGGTCCAAAGCACCTCAAGCTGCAATGCTCAGCTTTTGAAAGGGAAGGGAGAAGGGGTAAGGAGGCCAGTAAGGGAATCAGTAACAATTTCAGACTGGCTGGTTCTGCGAGAAGCTCGGTTTTGGGAGCTAAACCATCACCCCAGACTTTACAGCGATCTGTAAATGTTATCATTTGCTGGTTTAATGATGGTGTTTCCTGTGACTGCATGGGTAGGCTTGGTTGGTTTATTTGTTGCTTCTTCTTTTTAAAGAGGATAAATTTCACTCCTGGGCTGACCCTATTCCTTTCCTCCTGTAGGAATCACAGGCTCTACCTTCTCCTGTGTCTTACGTGACCTGCAGGGCTTGACTGACGCTAAACGAACATCCCAGGCCCACGAAATCTGCAGCCAAGGCAGGATTAGGACCTGCAGTTCCAGAACACGAGGTGTCTCCCAGAGAGCACCGGCCATTCACCCCGCAGCGACTGGAGAGATGAAATGATGATCCATGAGAAGTTAGAGGATCTCCACGGCAAGGTGGCAGAACTGAACAGGGGCTGAACCCCTCCACCACAAAGAGAGACAGGAGAGGACGGGTAGCTTGTTCAGTTGCTCCCAAATGACTTGCCAGAGTCCATCTGAAGGCACTTCCAGCACCTCCCCACCCTTTGAGCAGATTCGCTGGCAAAGCACCGATTTTTTTAACCTCAAAACTGAAGCTCTTTGTTTCTTATACCCGAGAGCTCCTTGGTGTAGTTGAGCAGTCGGGTTTCACACCCTGCAGCACACAGCAGGCCTCACCTGGAGGTAGATTGCTGCCTCTTGGTAGTTCATTTCCCAGTTGTGCCGGGCAGAGCTTTGCTGGGCAGAGCAGTCCCCCGCAGCAGGGCTGGATGCATCATTAATAACGTCATAGCTACCTCCATCTGCATCGGTACAGGAAGAGAAAAATGGATTTACAATTAAGCGAGCTGAGATTGATCAGGAGGCAGGCAAACAAGCTAGGCCCTGGGACCAGAGACAAGCATCAGGAGGTGGCGGAGTACCCAGGAAACTGGCAGCTCGTACACAGACAAATCAAGTCTTCCCGTGCGGGAGCTTTGAAGAGACACGCTCACGCTCAGCACTTCACCACGGGGATGCTCCCAGAAGGTCACCAAAAGAGACAGCATCCTATTTCACACAATAAGCAGGTCTCGCGGCTCAGGAGGTCTGCGCTGTCGTGTTCGTGGCGTGCCATCGGCAGCCACACGCGACACACGGGCAGCTAACGGCGCGGAGCCTCCAAGGATGCCCAGCCCTCAGCACAAAAGCGGGCTGGCCGAGGGAACACCGCCCTCTCACCTTTAACGGTAGGAGAGACCGCCGAAGAACGGAGTGCAGGACCACCACAGGCAAGGGAAAGCAGCCTGGGCACAGAAGACGTAGAGCACACTAATGGCAGCACCTCGGTATTTGTAGTAGAAAGGCTCATTTTTCAGAGCCCCGCAGAGTCATTAAACAATGCATCTTTGCAACACCCTTTTTGGTGCAGATAAACAAACACCCATACTCCTCTGACGAAAACAAACAGCAAGGGTGATTTTCTGTTTATATCACACAGATTGGTTTTGAAAAAAAGTGTCTTTCCCATCAGTAAAGCGCTGTAAAAGAACAAAACATTTGTACCACCAAATTTCATAACTAAGAATTCTATTTAAAAATACTGTTCCATTGCAAAAAGCAACTCCCCAGCACAGCTACACATACGTAGTGCCCTTCCCACGGGATAGCTACGCAGGGCACGTATATAAGCTCCAGACTACTCGCCGTGATTTGCATTCTACAGCCCTGGTGCTGTTAAGACATGTGAAAAACATGCACGAAGACAATTACAGTTCAAAAAGGGAATGTCTTGGTTTATTCTTCAGGGGCTGGGATTTTTATTTTGCACCTTTGACAAAGAATAGGGAGCACAGACCCCGGAGAAGCGAGACCTGCTCAGGGCCACACATGGAACCCGCGGTGAGGCTGTGTCCTCACACTGGGTTCTCCAGAGTTTCCATCGTTAGCCAAACCACATGGATGTTCTCGCTCTCGGTAAAGACCTCCCTCCTCCAGTGCCTCACGTTCCCAAAGAAGGTAGATGTAACACTGATCTTGCCAGTGCGAAATTGCTGATTTCCTCTGTTTTCTGAGCCCGGCAGCTGCGATGTCGTAGCTGGTTCCCTGTGTCTTAGGAGAAGTTATCTCAGCGTGGGAAAAAATGACAATGAGGTGGTTCTCCCCTCTCATGACAGCATGCTGAAAATTTGCTGCATCTCTTCGCTCTGACAAAATAATCCTGACTGAATTACTGATTTGCTCTTTCTCCAATAACCTCAGGAGTGGGGAGAGAGTCCACACCAAAAACTGCACCCATGGAGAGAAACAGCACTGCTGGGGTCCTGGCGGGCAGAAACCCCCTCACCAAGGCAGAGCACAGCCGCCTTTCCCACCCTCAGATCAAATTAAGACAGCATTTAGCTGGGATTTGAGAAGACGTTCCAGACTGCCTACTCAGACTGCTGAGAATCCTGCAGCACTGAAGCTTATTTCTCTTCCTTGCTTCCCCCATACCCTTAAAATACCACTCAAAATCTGGATGAATGTTTGAATGAGGCTGATTCCTCCCCCGCACCCCTTTCACACCTTGAACGAGCACAGATCTGGAAAAAACTGAACGACAGAGATTTTATTTATCCGCAGAACTGGAATGGCAGTTCTGGGTTTGCCCTTTAACGAAAACATGATGGCAATATGCAAAAATCTGAGGCTTTACATTGTGAGCTCTAAAAGGTTCTTAAATGTTATTATTTATGACGTGCGTATGTGCTTGAAGGAGACTGACTCCCTCAAACAGCAGCCTGATAGCAAAAACCTTTTTGCATTTGATACGCATATATTAATGTGCAGAAGGAGCACGTCTTCAGCAGAACCTGGACCCACTGCTGAAGGTCTTCACTGCCCAGAACACAAGTATTTTCCAACCCTCACTCCCACCCTAACAGACCCTTTGCTGCCAGACGAACCCCACTGCCCTCCGGCCCAGCCTGCCTTCCCCTCGGTGGGGCACCAACCTGGGTCACAGCCCTGCAGCGCGTCACCAACCTGGGTCACAGCTCCTTCGGTAGCCGGTGGCCCAGGAGAGGATGCAGGATGCCTCGCCCAGACCAGCAACGGCCGAGAAGGCGCTTGTGGGAGCTGGAATCTCAGGCCCTTCCATAACTCACCTTCACATCGCAGAACGTGTTTAGGACAACGCGCCTGGGACTCATCTCACACAGTTCAGGGGATATTGAAAAAGCACAGAATCAGCACCTTGGCCGCATGTGCTCTTCTGGGGAAGAGGGACGTTAGGCAAGTTGCTTATAGTACCATGGTTTTGGAGTATTACAGTATATATGAAATGTAAGAACATCCACACATACTGTGGTCAAATCATCCAATGTTTGTAGCCAACAAAACGCCAAAATACAGCGCCCTACCAAAAGATACCAAAACTACCTTTAGCCCCGAAGTAGTTCGCAACCTCTCTTTGAAAAGGATCAACACTGGGAAAAGATACACCACAGTAAAACCCCGGGACCCCTCCCTGCGTTTCACGCCGAGGAGTCGCAGCTGAAAGAGATGTCCCCGTAAGATCAAGGTTGCCAATACGGAACAACACTCAAAGATGCAAATCAGAAACAAAAAATAACTCTAGAAGCCAAGATGCTTTCCTCCTGTCTAAAGCAGACATCATCTTTCTAGGCACAGACAACAGAAAATGTACTGGTGAAGTGTTCCGGCGTGGAGCTGCATTTTGTGGATCAGCTCCTTCCCCATCAGGTAGCAGAAGGTTGATCTAGCATCCCTGAGGCAACAGCATCATCTGGGTAATAAATAATAATAAAAATAATAATAAATTTGAAAAGCAACCCTCTGACTGTTTGTTTGGCAGCCCTCCAGCTAGCTAATTTCCTCAGCTGCTCCCATGATAACAATGACACAGACTAATGCAACCTCCGCTCCGCTCCCGCTGCAGAACATCCCCGACGGCATTTACCATTAGTATCGCGCTCAATGAGATAGGAGGATCTCTCCACAGGACTCCCGTAATCCTCGAAGTAGATGGCAGGCGGC